TCCATACAGCACCAAACCGACATTGTTACTAAAGCATCTCAACCAAATCTAGCCCATTAGAAGATGAGTAAGATTTTTTGCAAGGGGTTTTGGATGATCTCTTATGGAAACAATTTATTAGACGTAGCTTACGCCATTGCGTGGTTCTGGCATTACTTGACGCCATTACGTTTAAGTACAAATTATGACAAATGTGTATTGATAGCAATAAAATTATGATGAATTTCAATTTCTTATACTGAGGTTCAAAGTCCTTCTAGACAAACTATATTGTACTAATATATTTTTCATACTTTATTTAAGTAGTGTATATTACCAAATTCAGAATCACAAATGGTGACGAATATATTCGTTCATTCAAATCACTATAAGATTTATAAGAATAGAGGGTTATGTCATTTGCGCCAAGCATATTCACATGTCTAACGAATGAGGTACTTAAACCCTTTCTCCGAAATATATTATGCTATCTATTTTAATGATATTTTAGTTTTTAGCTCATATTTAGAGTATCATTTGAATCATCTTTAATTCTAATTAAGAAATTAAGAGACCAAAAGTTGTACGTCAAAGTAACCCTGTGAATTTGCGATCAATAGTGTGCATTTTCTGGGTTTTATTATTCATTATCAAGGCATCCAAATCAATCCTTGCAAAAATTCAACAATCTAATCTTGGTCAAATTCCACCTCATTCAAAGAAAATCAAAGCTTCCAGTTACAAGACCTAGCAAAATTTCTACTAAAAATTTCTACAAGGATTTAGCACTTTAATGGCACCAATTACCGAATGTTTGCTAGTTGGGGGCCTAAATAAAATTAGCTTTGAAAATATAACATCAATTTTTTGAAAGCCATTGATTGTGATAATATCGGATTTTGAGAAAACATTTTTAGTTGAAGCATGGACAATAGGCATTGATGATGTGTTATCATAAGATGATAACCGATGAGTTTTTTAGCAAGAGCTAAGCGCCACAAGATAAAAATTCAATCTATAAAAAAGAGCTCTACATTGTCGTGAGAGCACTCAAGTAATAGGAACATTATTTGATACATCAAGGATTTGGTTTATATAGTGATCACAAATCATTGCAATTATGTCGGATAAGTGACACTTTACATAAATTTACTTTCGTGCTTAAACATAAGGCAGGTAAATTTAATCAAGTGGGGGATGCTCTAAATCTAAGAGCTGGTCTTTTGATTGCAACCCAAACTGATAAAAGAAATGGAAGCCCTCTAAGCATAGTGATGGGGACATCAGATTTCGACACGTGTATCATTGCCGAAGACGCAGATCGACGGCTACGATCCAGAGTCTCTATTTCTGATCTATTTGCATCTTATGTTATGAGTGTATTTTCTTTTGTTTTCCTAATTTGCCCCTGAGGACATCGTTTCACTTATGTAGCCCTGAGGGCGTTTATGTCATTTAAGTTATGTTTAATTTGGCCTCCTTATATGATGCATCATGCATTGTAATAGTTTAGTTTTTGATGAATGAAAATTTGACATTTCATGTTCTCTTTGTGAGTGCAAATCTCCTCGATCTCTTAGTGAGTTCGTAGAAGAAACTAGATCTCTTTGTGAGTTCTAGGTTTTCTTGTTCTACTATTTTCCCTTTATTTCTCTTGATCGCTTCCTCGTCGCGGAGATTTGGGTTGAAGCAATTGTGGGAGATTGGAATTCACTCCTTGAATCCCTAAATTTTTCCCTGGTCCCCACTTTACTAAAACTCCCCACCTCCCTCTTCTCTAATTTGACCGGCCCCTCATTGGGCTCCTCTCTCTCTCCTAATCACCCTAATAGCTCCACAAAATCAGCCCCAACTCCCTCCTCTCTTTGCCGTCCCCTCCCCTCATTGGATTAATTTGAATTTCAAATTAAATCCCACCATTAAACCTCCAAAATCTGAATTTAATTCAGAATTCCTGCACCCTACCACTTGACCCCCACCATAACCGAATCCCCTCTAGCCCAAACCTGTGACCCCTCTCTCCCTAGCTCACGGCCCACTCTCCCACCTCCCCCTTTGTCTTCCCCACTAGATCCCACCATGCATGGCGGACCCCGAATTTGAATGGGGACTTGTGTTCGACGCCCACGGAAATCTTAACATCCTACAATCGCCGTTCTTCGACGTGGGATTTGACCCCGACGACGACACCGTTGGAGCTTACTTGGATCGGATCCTCCCCACCCTCGTGCACGTCAACGATAGATACAGTCCAGATTATGAGTGGACCATCGACGACCATCCACCCGCTCCTCCAATTCCGGCTTCTTCCCCGGTGATGAGTCCTCTCGGTATCACCTGTCTACTAGTGGCATCGCTAAGCCTACTTATGATCCTCTCCTGCTAGCCACCACTTCCAAGAGCGAGAGAATGACTTCAAGGTGAAGGATCTCGATTTTAAATTTGAGGCTTCGTTATAATTGGCTATTTGTATTACCTAAAACTTTGGTTATTATTTTGCAAGTTCTTGTAATCTCAACATGTAATCTATTGTTATTGCCTAATCTTTTAATGTCATATTCTTAAACTCTAACTTGAGCAAACAAAGAGTTATTTGGTAGCAAAGTAAAATTCATCACTTCTATTAATATCTTAATTGCAATTCTTGTTTATTGCATGTTGTTTCACATCACATAGTACTCCACATATAAGGATTTTACAAAAAACATGAAAATTTTTCTAAGTCTAAAGGTTTTCGTTTGAGTAAATCTAAAACCGAATACATTGAGTGTAATTTTAGTAGTAATAGATCTAGTGGTGGGATTGTGAGATCAAGTCATTATAAATAGTGCAAGTTTTAGATATCTCGGGTCCATTGTTCAAAGTGATGGTGAAATAGATGGAGATATTACTACTAGAATTCAAATTGGATGGTTGAAGTGGAGGAATGCATCAGACCTGTTGTGTGACAAAAAATGACCCCTCAAACTTAAGGGAAAATTTTATAAGATGGTTGTGAGATCCACAATGCTTTATAGCACAGAATGTTGGCATTAAAAAAGAAACATAAAATTAAGTTAAATGTTGCATAGATGAGGATGTTCAATTGGATGTGTGGTTTCACTCTTTAAGGTAAATGATCTAGTCACAATTCATGTGGATAAAGAGTGCTTCCCAACAGGTACTTCTTCCAAGTTGAAGCCTCTCAAGTTGGGTCCATTTCTGATAGCTCAAAAGATCAATGACAATGCCTATATTATTTGATTGTCACCAAATTTAAACATCTATCTGACAATCAATGTTTCTAAATTTAGGAGTATCACCCTCTCGATGTCGTTTCGATCAATGAACTCGAGTCGAGTTCTTCTAAAGTGGAGGAGAATCTAATGCAATCAAACCCAATGCGTGTTACTAGCTCTTGGTTTCCTATTGCCCTGATTAGATTACTTATATTAGTTTATGTTTTATTTAGACTAACAGGACTTTGTGATCAACTTGTCGATTGGTAAGATATTTACTTTTGGCTTATAATCGCTTAAATAGAACTGATGTAGATATATAACAACTTTTTGGATAATTTTTACCATAGAATCTCAACCGAAAATATTCGACTATCCCCTCCTTTTTCCTTTATCTTGTTTGGTTTATGCCAATGAGTTGATCATCAATAGCAATTGAATGCAAATCCAAGGGTCCACTATGCATCATCGACCACAATAAACACGTCTACTATATTGCCTTCTTAACTACCCTTCACTCTTTGTACTCCTAATTCTGCCACATGGGATTCAAATCCATGAACAACTCTATAATCATTCAACATAGGACCACTTGGCATAACTAGTCCAACAGCCTAGGCAAATGAATAAAATACAACCAAATAAAACATCTAGATACATTTAGACCCACAAATGAGGTGAATCCACCTAATCATAACTTGATCATCAATCACCCGTCAAATGCAAGCTAGTGATTTAGTCACACATCAAGGACCACAAACGATATGATGGTTGTTACCTCAATAGTCCTATATCAATAATTTAAGAAATTGTCCACACATTTGATGAGTGAAAATATCCCCACCTTCAATGAGTGACAACTAAAACCAATGATTTAATAAAAACAAAATTGATCCAATTCCTTTGACTTATAATCACTTAAACAGAATTGATGTAAGAGGTGGAACAGCTTTTTGGTTAGTTTTACTATGTAATCTCAACCTAACTATTCGGCTATCTCCTCCTTTTCTTATGTTGCTTGGTTTATGCCAATGACTAGATCATCAATAGCAATTGAATGCAAATCCAAGACTCATCTATCCATCATGGACCACAATAAACACAACATCTACTACATTGCCTCCTTGACTGCCATTAACTCGTTAGACTCCTAATTGTGCCACAAGGAATTCAAACCATGAACTACTCCATTAAACATAGGACCACTTCACATAACTAGCCCAATAGCCTAGGCAAATGAAGAAAATACAACCAAGGAAAAACATCTAACTACATTCAGATTTCAGACCCACAAATGAAGTGAATCCAACAGTCAAATGCGAGCTGGTGATTTAGTCACACATCATGGACCACAAAAGATATGATGGTTGTTAATTTACATACTTAATAGTCATATATTATTTAAAAAATTGTCCACATATTTGAAGAGTGAAAACATCCTCGCCTTCAATGAGTGGCAATTAAAGCAATATCCATCACAACCAATGATTTAACAACAACAAAATTGATCCTGTTCTTAAATGTAATCAATACAATTTTATTGGTATTTCCTTGATGGGAAACTGAGTGTATAAACAACGAACTTGAAGCATCAAATTCAATAATTGAGTGCATAACAATCAAAGCTACAACTCTGGCGGAGTTACAATCAGCATATATCATAATTTTGGCAAAGAAAGATAACAAACTGACTCAGCAAAATGATCAAGAAAATAAAATATTAGCATAACTATATGAGAGATGAGCAGGGAAAAAAAGAAATTCAAAAAGAACGACAAGATCAAGAAGGGCAATAGGACTTACTTTAACTGAGCCAAGCATGTCATGCTCCAAACCCACATCAATATTTTCTGAGATACCTGACTGAAGGCTAGAACGATCAAGTAATTTTAATATTGCATTTTCATCCCAAGAAATTTTTGTTCCGCTAATGGTGCATCTATCTTTATATACATCCCCCAAACCACCAGCCCTTCTTCTATGCTTACGCTCTCCATGTACAGTACTATCAACATTGTTGATACAGTCGTTTTTAACATCTTGACAATTCCCTGCATCAGAATCAGGGAAAAGCTCCTCTGTTCCCCATCGAAGGATGTCCTCCACTTCCTTTTGAGATCCAGACTTGCTCACAAAAAGTTGATCAAGCATCAATTTCTTCTTGGCAAGCTGTAATATGCGCTCCTCAACACTAGCTCTTACAACAAGTCTGTATACAAGCAGCCTATTTGATTGTCCGATTCTATGTGCCCTGTTCATGGCTTGTATATCAGCATGGGGATTAAAATCAGAATCATAAATAATCACAGTATCAGCTGTGGCTAAATTTATCCCGAGTCCACAAGATCGTGTTGATAATAAGAACACAAAACGTGCTTTGTCCCGGTTGAAGCGAGCTATTGCTGCTTGACGATCTGCCACTGACAGAGAACCATCCACTCTTTCAAATGTTGCTGGACCAAACTCTATTGTAAGGTAATCTTCAAGAATATCAAGAAGTTTTGTCATCTGTGAAAATATAAGAACACGATGACCTTCCTTGTGTAAGATTTTGAGCATAGAGTGCAGTAAAGTAAGCTTTGCTGATGCCTTTATGCGCATTTCCTGAAGGAACTCTGGCGTGCCAGATTCTGGTTCTGTTCCAGGGATTAGATATGGATGGTTGCAAACCTTACGTAGCTGCATCACAACGTTTAGCATTGACTGCTGAGCAACCCCTTTCCTAATATTACGCAATATTTGATAATTCTTTGTGAGCATTGCCCGGTAATATTCAGCCTGCAGGGACGTTAACTCCACAGGAACCATCCTCTCAGTTTTTGGAGGGATGTCCTGCATGGCATCCTTTTTAAGCCTACGAAGCATATGTGGCGCCACAAGTTTTTTTAACTCTTCCACCTTCTTTGCAGTGGAAAGGTCATTGAACTTCTCTTCAAATGATGAAAACGATGGGAATGAACATGGTTGCAAAAAGTTCAATAAATTATACATCTCCTCCAAGTTATTTTGTAAAGGAGTCCCTGTCAACAGCACTAGATGCTGGAAAGAAAATGTGTTGAGCAAACTAAAAAGTTTGCTTCTGGAATTTTTTAGCCGATGTCCCTCATCAACAATCAGAACTTCCCATGGTACTCCACGAAGATGAGAGGAGTCAACAAGAATCATTTCATAAGTCGTTAGCAGAACATTAAATTTGTACGCCTTGCTCAGCTTATCTGGCCTATTTGCATCACTGGCATGCCACTCATATTGACGAATAACAGATCTTGCTTTAGCAGAACCATGATACTCCACAACATTCAAATGAGGAGCCCATGACACAAATTCTGAGAGCCAGTTTGGCATTGTGGAGAGTGGAACCAAGACCAAGCAAGGTAACTTAACCCTAAACTCAAAATATAAGGATGAAATGAATGCGCAGGCAGATACGGTTTTTCCAAGTCCCATTTCATCAGCAAGTATCACATTTTTAGATTTTTGCCAACATTTGCGAAGCCAATTTAATGCTTCTAACTGATGTGGAAATAGTGAACCTCCTTTAAGCTCCTTTGGCTGCTCTACCAATGGAACTACTTCGATGTCAGTTCTCACAAAGTCAGCACTAGCATCCTTGTCTGAAGTATGAGATTCAAACTGTTTAAGTTCAGAAAAGAGATGAGAAGCATTTTGAATGACAGGTTCATCAAATTTCTCCCAGGTACACTCATCATAAGGAAGGCCACACCATTTAACCAAAGCTTTTCCTCCTCCATTTTCAGGTTCACTCAAAGAAATAATACGTTGTGGCTGGAGCCATTGTTCTTCACATATATTTATGATAGCCATTCCATATTTTGCTTTATAATTATCAAGTTTTCTCTTTGCTAGAACTTTTAACTGATCTTCCAAAACCCAACTGTTATGTATGTTTGATTTACCTGCCCATTTTACAAAAAATTCGTAAGCAACACAACCAATGTCCTTAGGCCTCAATTCCAGCTCTGACTCTTTTGGTACTACAATATCTTCAGAACTACGATAAGATTCAGGTCCCATGGTACAAGCAAGGGCATCTTGTGACATACGATTGGCTGGCATTTCAGAAGACCTAGGTGTGTGAGCTTCATTGTAGTTATCTGCACGAAGCAATTCCACATGTATACTTTCTTCCAAACACCTCTTAACAGTCGAGTCTCCAAAATTTCCATCATCACTAAGTTCAAACCCTTTGTCAGCCATGTTATGATCTAGTGTGGGCTGACAAATTAATAACAACTCGTCCTCTGCCTTGCTCATGAATTCCCCATCTCCACATGTTTTCCCATTAACATCTTTACCAGACTCTTTTAGAGCAATCAAATTTGCATCATCGTGGAACACCTCATCCATGGCATTCTCCAACTTCCCATCTCCAACTTCACTTTCATCAAAACAATCTACTTGATCATGATTTTGCTGACCAGTTGAATCACAAGAAGGAAACTCAGTTTGCAGCATAGCAATATTTGCTTTCATTTCTGCTTGAGAAGTGGCAATGTCAATTGCTTGACTAATACATGATGACTTTGTTTGAACTCGACACCCCAAAATGCGGGCAACCTTTCAATCAGGGATATCAATGTAAGATTATTGCAGCAAACCATGCATAATGGATGTGAAATAAAGCTAGAGTCAAAGTGATATTCTTCAACCAAGAACATTATCACCATTCTTGGTCATATAGACAACAAAAATGAAATAAAATAGAGAATATTTACCTGAGGTATGCCATGAAAAAAATCCTCATTATAAGTCATTGTCATCTCAGAATTTTCACCTCTTCCACTTAATTCATGAGACATGAAGTATGCTCCATTAGGCAAGATCTGCATTTCAGTGCTGAATTATAAGTACAAGCATGCAGTTAATGATACGTATCAAGATTAGGGACATTCAGAGCAAATTAAATGTGATAAGACCAGAAGCCATGCAAATAAAAATATAAAAAACATTCTTTTATGGATTGCTCGTATGATAATGATGCGGAGGTAAATTAATGCAGAACAAATGAACAATTTATAATTCAAAACTCGTATGTCTATCTATTTTACATAAACAAAAAATTTACTGCTACTGATGTAAAATATAATAAAAACATGATAAAATAAATAAAGAAAAAAAAAGAAGATAGAACCAAATTGGTAAGGCGCAATTCCAACCAGCTCTTTTGAAAGTTTCAAAATTGGAAATTGGAATAATCAAGAAACTCACATACAAATGGAAATGTCTTCCATTTGATTTTCAATCCTCGACATCAATTAATTATCAAAAATGCCTCTTTATTCAAGGAAAAAAACACAACACACACAACAAAACAACAGACTGAAATTCCTATCTAGACCTAGGACTGGCTAAAATGGACTTTCCATTTCTAGGGACATATCTTCGATTAAGGCCCCACTATTTCTAAATATCATCTTTTAATGAAAAATAAAAACTAGAAATAGAACATAATACTCGGTAGTCGGTAGTATGATAAGCAGGTACCAATAATGGATTCATTTCATCCTCCAGGAAGCAAAAAAAAAATAGTTTAACGTCCTTCAAACGAATATAATGTGCAATTAGTTTTTCAATACCTATCTCATGAAGGGTCAAATTAGCGGTTGCCGGAAATTGGCAAAAATTTGTTCAGTCTACATTTGAAATGCATTTTGCTGTCAGATCAATTTATTTTCAATCTATTCAACATAGTTTAGACAACAGAATAAAGACCATGGCATATTACTAAAACCAGGAACGTGCGCATAAAACAACAAGAATTGAAATGCACATTCCGATGCATGTCTACACTGCTGATTGGTATGTTTCCCTAACCTAAACAGCTTGGTGGTTCAAATACACCTTTTGATCATGCATCAAAAACAAAATAACTATGGAAATTGTTTGTTTGTTCGCTGACCAGCCATACTCTAAAGGCTTAAAAAACTCTCAATCTCATACACCACAAACTATTAGCTAAGCTTTTATTGAATAAGCATTAAACGAATGTGGATAGAATGAAACTAGCTCGCTCTTTCCATAAGGCAATTCTCATTGTCTGGTCAAATATCCACGAGAAAACACTCAAAGACAACAAAGTACTCATGTTGCTGATGCCAGTAGCAATAACAAAGAGAATAATAAGTGCATCGTGGAGCCTTTGGGAGGGATACTCTCAAAGCTCTGCAAGTAAAGATCTGATAACATGTTACCAATGGCCAATGATTAATTGCAAACTCGAAACAAAACAAAATCCAGAAATCATGAAGTTTATTCAAATGTTGGCTGCTAAGTACTAGAATATAACAAGTTACAGGATCAAAATTAGAGACCTCAGGTTTCTTTAGCCTTGAGGACTTCGGTAAACGTGTTTCCTGCTTCAAACTAGACTTAGAACTCAGATGCTCATTTGATTTGCACTTTGAACGAGAAACACTAGATTCAGGACACATGGAAGCCTCTCCAAAGGTGTCATTAGAAATTTTTGAAGCTTGCTCTCTATTAACATACTTTAAACTGAACTTGTCCATCTTATTGATTTTCTTCCTACTCTTCTTTGAAATGTATGATACAACTATTGGTATATCACACTTCTTTCCTTGATTTTCATTTCTACAAGAATCTGGATTCTTTTTAGCTGATTTATCGCTTGAATCCAGGTTCAAAGATTTTACAAGAGAGTGTGCCATCTTTTGTGCACTTATTTTCCTGTTTGAAGGTGAGACTGCTTTCTTCTTCTTCTTATAAACTGCAGTTGTTGATACCACATCAATCAAAACATTGTCGCCTGAAAGGCTTGATTTATCGTTGGTGGAAACATCAGCGTGCACGGAATTGGACTTCTCATCCAATTGAGCTGTGCATAAGAAAGCAGTTTTCTCTTTGCCAGTGGATTTGCTGCTTCCTAGGAAATTCCTCCCCGAATGTGATGTCTTATCACCGCTAGAGATAATGCGCACAGCCATAGCCTTTCTGGTTGTTTTAGTTCTAGATCGTCTTGAGCTGATTTCTACACAGCTTGATGGTTTATCAACTTCCTGATTGCAACATTTTGGGCATAGCCAATTCCCTGCTGGTGCACGCTTTAAGAAATGGAAATTTCACAAAATCTGAAAGTTAGCATTAGAATCAAAGTAGAGTGCCAATACAATGAAGAAACCAAAAGTGATGGAAACAAGAAATGTTACAGGAGCATACCTTCAAGGGTGGGTTAAGACAATCCAGATGGTATGTTCGAGGACAGTTATCACAGCATAGCAGGTTGCCACCAAGATCACAGTGTTCACACTCAAAATAATACTGCAATTCAAAAAAGAACCAAAAACAGTGAAATTGTGTACCAGATCATCCTATAGTGCTTAATTCAATAATTGACAAAACCGGAAGTGCAAAACAGATCCTTCGTCATCAATGAACAAGAATACGCCATAAGAACAACAGAGAATAGGGCTAGTTACATTGAATCCCTTAACTACTCTGACAAATCATAAACCAAAAAATTCTATTTGATGCTGCAAGCCTGTGACCAATAAGCTAATGGATAAATTTTTAGCAACTCTTTCAAGCATAAACAAGTGAAATTGAATATAAGTTGCTCCATGCAACCTAAATAACAAAAGAAGAATAGTTTATATTAGTAAAAACCTTCTGCAGACAAAGTGGTTATTCAAAAATAAATGATTGATGAATTATTATCATTATGTTCATCATCACTTCTTCCCCAACAAAACTAGATCAATGTCCTCTATCAGGATTTTCAAATAGATAGCATCAAGGAGCCCTCAGATCAAGCTATACTCAGCACATTACCATCATCAGAATTATCATCATAGCCAATATAATCCATATTTACCGTCCTTATTGCAAGAAAAGGTCAAAAATAATAAGTTTTGATATAAAGATTGGTTTAGATGTAAAAACTCTGATAATTGAGAGAATATAAATAGAGCTTAAGGAGTATAAAAAAGCAATATGCGATGCAAAGATTTTCACTTTTAATGATTTATATAATAGATTAGATACTAAAGATGATGAAAGATATATGCATAAGTTAGCCAAACAAAGAGATATGACTAGTAAGCATTTAGTTCAAGTGAAGTGCATAAAGGATGAAGACCAAAAAATACTTTTATTAGAAGATGACATTCAACAAAGATGGATGAGATATTTTGCTAAGCTTTTCAATAAAGATTTTGATAATACGATTGACTTTAGTAACTTTAGCACCTAAATGAAAATAAATATTTTTTTTAATGGCGTATCAGTAAAACCAAAGTTAGAGATGCTTTAAAGAAAATGAAGTGTGAAAAAGTTGTTGGACCTGACGATACTCCAATAGAGGTGGGGAAATGCTTAGGAGATTAAGGAATTTCTAAAATTTTTAATATTATTTTGAAGACTAAAAAGATGTCAGATGAGTGAAGAATAAGTGTGTTGATTCCTATTTTGAAGAATAAAGGTGATGCACAAGATTGTGCAAAATATAGAGGAATTAAGTTAATGTTTCATGCTTGAAAACTATAGGAAAGAGTTATAGAGTATCAGTTAAGACGTGATACAAATGTTTCTCAAAATCAATTTGGATTTATGTCAGCTAGGTCTACTATGGAAGCCATACATTCATTGAGAGGTTTGATGGAAAAGTATAAAAAGAATAAGGAGGATCTACATATGATATTTATTGATTTAGAGAAAGCATATGATAAAGTTCCAAGAGGAGCTATGGAGAGTTCTAGCAAAGAAAAGGGTTAATAATGCTAATATTCAAGTCATTAAGGATATGTATGTTGGAGTTGTTATTTGTGTTCAAAAACAAGGTGGTTTGACCAAGTATTTTCCTATTTCAGTTGGATTACATCAAGGATCATTCTTAAGCTCATATCATTTGCTTTAGTCATGGATGTTCTCCCCGGATATTTACAAGAGGTTGTACCCTTGTGTATATTTTTTACTGATAATATTCTTCTTTTTTATGAGACTACTGAGGGAGTTGAAGGAAAATTTGAATAATAGCGGTCAACCTTAAAGTCTAAAGGTTTTCGTTTGAATAAATCTAAAATCGAATATATATGAAGTGTAATTGTAGTAGTAATAGGTCTAGCGGGGGGATTGTGACTTTGGGCAATCAAGTCATTAATAAGAGTACACGTTTTAGATATCTTGGGTCTATTGTTCAGAGTGATGGTGAAATAGATAGAGATATTATTAGTACAATTCAAGTTAGATGGTTAAAGTGGAAGAATGCATAGGACTTGTTGTGTGATAAAAAAGTCCCCATTAAACTTAAGGAAAAGTTATATAAGATGGTGGTGAGACTTGCAATGCTTTATGGTGTAGAATGTTGGCAATTAAAAGAAAAGCATAATATTAAGTGTTGGAGTGATGAGGATGCTCAGGTAGATAAGTAATTTTACTCTTAAAGACAAGATACGAAACGAGCATATACATGAAAAGGTTGGAGTAGCTCCAGTGGAAGATAAGACTAAAGAGAGACGCATTAGATGGATTGGTCATATAAACGGCGGCCTTCCGATGACCCGGTTAGAAGAGTAGATGTATTAGATTTGGCTTATGTTAGTAATGGTAGAGGCAGACTGCAAACCTAAAAAGACTTGATTATAAAATATTTTAAATGACATTTCTTTATTAGATTTAAATGAGAATTTGACTTTTAATATGACACAACGGAGAAAAATGATTCATGTAACTGACCACGGGTTGTGGGATGAAGGCTTCATGATGTTGTTGTTGTTTGATACATCAAGGGGAGCCCACCTTGTGGTACCCAGGGAAGCTATTATTCATTATGTGAGGAGGATAAATCAAGTGGAAGCTGTTTAATTGTTTATGAAGGTTTCCTTAATCATGTTTAATTATTTAGGAAGGTTTCCCAAAATATGCTTAATTATATAGGAAGGTTTCCTAAATTATGTTTAATTTGTCTATAAAGGTTTCCTAAATTATGTTTAATTGTTTAGGAAAGTTTCATAAATTATATTTAATTTGTTTAGGAAGATTTCCTAAATCATGTTTATTTGTTTAGGAAGGTTTTCTAAATTATATTTAATTATTTAGGATGATTTCCTAAATTTATTTTAAATTATTTAGGAATATTCTATTTATGTTATTATGTTCTAGGGCTATTTAAGGGGGAGTTGTCTAGGATTTTACGAGCATGCATTGATGAGTTTTTTTAGGGTTTATTGTCCACTATTTTTGTGAGTGATTCTAGCTGCGTCTAGAATTTGGGAAAAAATGTCCTCTAAAAAGAGGACCATTGTATCTGGCTTGTTTGTGTTTCTTTTCTTATCAATAAAAATATGTTGATTTGCCGAAATTTACTATTTGTTCACTGATTTTTGACACAACGCGTATAATTTTATGTGTTCCCCCCCCCACGTGCTCTCCTCTTTCGATGCCTGTCACTAGTCATCACATTCACAGTTGCAGTGTGTGAAGGTGTGCTCATAGAGAGGCATCCAAAACTCTCATTTGGCTAGCATCTTCTCCTCCCTTGCTATTCTAAATGAAGAATGATCTATGACTTACAAGCAGAGATGTGAGGGAATAAGGAAGGGTTATTTCAAAGCAATTCAATTGTCTTTATGTTGTTGGAGTTTTCCTATCGAAATTTTATTTGAAAAAATGCCTTCACAAGTTGAATAACATGTACAATGTAAGTTTCATAACTTCTCATATCACAGAATAAAGATAGATGACGTTAAATTGTCAACTCTAAAACATTAATCCTATTTAGCATTTTACATTGAAGTATACCATGAATCTATTTCTCCAACATTGATCTCCTTTTTCATGGTCCCTTCTATTTTGGCTCTCCTTTTATTAAGGCCTCATTTGGTTCGGTGTATTTTCTCCGTTTTCAAGTTTGATAAGTCAAAAACAGTTATTTTGAAATGTTTGGAAGCACAGCTTACTTGTAATTCCTTCTCATGAAACGTAGTTTTTTTTATCAGTTACAAAAGTTTTTTCGTATATGCTTATTCCGTTACAAATCTCAGTTCCTAAAGCAAGAAGTCGAAATTATCCAGCATGTATACATGTCAAGAACTAGCACGTCTGCGAGCTTCATCTTCTCCAGCAGCTTGTCCAGAGAAATAACCTTCGCTATTTTGCAACTCCCTCCATTTCATCTTCGACTTGCTTCCCAGACGCCAGCCTGCTTCAGCCGGACAACTCCAGAGAAATAACCTTCAATATTTCCTCTCTATTTCACACACTAAGCCTGAACTGCACTCAACTCTTCTTTTGCCCGACCACGCCATCCGCCAACCTGTCGTCGATCTGTTCAACCAACTTCGTCCCAACCCCCGCCCATCTGATCATCATCGGCCAGTGCTCCTCCCAGACGTTGACCTGACCTCCCAGCTGTCATCCAAGGTCCGCCACCGTCGAGGAGAAACCCAGATGCACCGCTAGGCTGAATCAGCATTAGATTTCAGTTGCTTCCACCTAACTTCTTCATGTTCTGAAAAGTACATAATAGCATCTAAAAATGCAATTAAAACCTGAAACAGCGGAGAGAAATCTCATTCCTTTTTGGGATGAAACGGTAGCAAAAGTACATTCTATTCACGTAAAACTAATATTACTCTTCATTACAATTCATTTCTTTAACAAAAATAGAGTAATGTACATGCTTGTAGCGCAGCAAATCCCATCACCCCAAAAAAAGTACAGAAATTTAAGAAAACATAAGTATAATATAAACGTCGATGGTCGCTGGTACAATCAAATAAGCTTTGCCTGTTGAAGCCATGGCTACTTGTATGTGGATGGTTTTTGGAAAGTGCGGTAGAAGATATAGATTGTTGTTTTGCATTTGTATGATTTTTTGGTGGATTGTGAGAAGAAGAGAAGATTAGGAATCCATTTATAGAAGTCTAAGATTTGGGAAGTAGAAGAAACACAAAACAATTAATGGGTATTATGGCTTTGAGAGTAGGCAGTTGGTTCCAAAGTGATCGTGTCATTCTGACACACAAAACTTGACAATCCCATTTCTTACGAGCTATTTGTCCTTGATCGCAAAGAATAATTAACAAATTTGTGTATAAGTTTACAATTAAATTTCAATAAAAACAATTTTAATTTTTGGCTTATTGCAAAGTTAGAAAGTTATTGATTTTCATAATTTCAATTGTATTATTGACTGCTTTTTTATTTTCAATATTCAAAGTATAAATTTTTACATATATAAACATTACTTTTTTTAAAATAATTATATATAATTAAATTTAAGAGATGGATAATTTAGTCTTTCATAGTAAAATCGTTAAAATTGAACACCTAAACAAACAATTAATATATGCTTTTAGGTTTTAATAAGCACTTAAAAAAATATTACTCAAACAAAATTTCATTATTGAAACTCTGTTGTAGTAAACCCCTTTTTCTCAACATCTATTTCTAAAATTTCATTTTAAATAAGCAACAACCCAACCAAACAAAGCCTAAGCCACATCTACTAGATTCAAAGCAAATACAACTAACCATGTTAGGCAAATATGTAATATCTTATTCAAGACCTAGCATGCTATTATCATTATCAACCATAAGATTTATTTCTATACCCCTTTATTAATAATCTCTCTTCAAAACCAATGTTTTTAGTATCAAGTGATCAGTATGCTTCCTATCCCTTCTTTTTGAGAACTTAGCAATCACTAGTTTAATTTGTTCAAGCTATATACCATTTTGATCTATCATGAACTACTCATTAGTTCTAATATTAGCTTTAGTTAGATTAAACAATCTCTAGCAAACATGAAATGGCAGACTTAACCATCTGTTAATGACCAAAATTGCATTTTGTTTCCAGCCATGCAATCGTGCATAATGAATAATGAAAACATATATAATGATGCTTTGCTACATTAAACAATGCAGATGGTGCTCAGCTATATAGTGTAGCAACGTTCCACTTTCCTCCAAGGCATACAATCAGATTACAGGACAAATAAGGGTTGGAAGGGGAACAAAGTTAGTATCCTCAAGGGAAACAATAAAACAAAAGAAAAACTAAAAATACAGTATGCAATTAACTCAAGAAAGTGGACAATGAATAAGATAGAACTTACCCCATCATGCCCTTTGACTTTTTGAGAACATCGAGAAGCATCAGCTTCACCCTTTAACTTTTTTCTAAGAGAAGAGCTCTTCTTTGTGGACTCTGAAAGCACCGAATCTCCTTCCTTCCCAGTGGTTGCATCCAATGCAGTTGATATCTGTTTCCTCTTGCGCTTAAGTACCCAGTTCCTATCTAGCATCTTATCATGCAAAGAACTTCCTTTGTTCATTTTCAGCGCCTCAATGCTGCATTGATGACTGCAACTTAGAAAACTATACGGTAATCAGCTAGGTAAAATTCACTTAGGCCTCAGCATAAGACCACACATTTGCAACAACAAACAAGGTTGCAATTTGCCCAAACAAAAAAGGAAAATGCTCAGTAGTTGTGAAGGTCAACACAATTACTGCGATGATTTTTTTTTATGGAACATCAGGCAGAATGACCACTCCATTCCCCATCAGAAACTGAATATATGCAACATGTTACACAAGATATATGGATTAACGTAATCTTATATATCAAACATAACAAATGCAATAAGCCTAAGGGGCAAGGAAGCAACACATATGCATGATGCTTTAATCCTATGGATACACGAAAACAATGCAGCTTGTCTTCCCATCAGCGCTGCAGTGCCTATACGGATACTCTTCATCAGAGTTCACCACACTAGTCACAAGGCAAAGCGCAAACCAGAATAAGCCTGGGTGATGGACTCCACATTCATGGAAGATAGCCAATCCAATAATGTTAACTCGTTCAAAAGCCCAAAACAAGCAAATAATGAATTCCAAAAAGAATGGTAATAAGCATCGCTATGAAATATGAAGCAGGAGGTATATAATCCATCACTAAATAATGAACAAATAAGCAGCACTCTGAAGCTGGTATTGGTTCAGTACTCCTGTATTAAAACATATTCCTATAAAGAACCAAACTCCATAAATATCCATTCCAGACTGAAAAGAAATCAAGCAAATTTGTGGAGCAAAGAGCAATAAACTCCGATTGCTCTAGATCCCGCAATCCAATAATCCCCAAGGCCGCATCCTTTTCCAGCGCACGTACTGAAAAAGGAATAACTCCATCTTAAGCCAATCTAGTCCGCACAACACAACTAAACCTAAAAAGTCTCAAATCCTCTCTGGATAGGCAAATCAATCCAAATACATAGAAACACCAAAGTCTAGGTTCTCAGCCGAACAGAGAACGCATGAAAGAAAGAGAGCTAAGAAGGGAGGGCCAATTTGTCAGAAAGGCAGCCCAAACAACTTCAAAGAAATAGGAAATCGGAAAAGCCTCACCTGAGTCAAATAGGGATTTGTCGTCCGCGGCGAGATCTCTTGCTCTCCTTCATTCCCCGATCGCGGAGGGCTCTCGGAATGGAAAGAAGGACAATGGGGAATAGCATTTTTTGCCCTCTCTCTCACTCTTGTCTCCTCGACAGGAGAAAGAGAAGTATACGGCGTGAGGGCGAGCGCGCCCATGGGGCTTTCGACCCGGCACTTCTCCAAGTGCGGCGCCAATCTCGGAGCGCCACGTGGCTGGGGCAGGCAGACTTCGGTTGTAGCGGATGCCGAAGCAGTACGCATTTCGCTGCTTTTCTCTCTCTCTCTCCCTCCATCATTCGCCATACCGCCGGCCGTGGATAGCTCAACGGCGGCGAAAAGTATGACGGCGAATCGAACTGGAGGGAAGTTCCGGATTCCATTTTTTTTTTAATCCATCTTTCGTCTTAATTTTTTCTTTTTTTTTTTCATCTTGAATTCGATATGATGTAAGAGAGTTGGCGGGTTAGTCGTCACGTGAGGAAAATACGTGGCTGCATGTTTGCCTGATTTTGCTCACGTGTTGGGCTTGCTCGGATGTGGCGTGACGTGATCCTCTAGGCCCGCCCAGCCCAAGAAAAAAATATAAATTACTTGAGTGAAAAAAAATAAAAAATTGGGAGACATTTGAGTTTGTTTGGTTGACTGAAAAAAATAAAATAAAAAGAATACATAAAAGAAATACAGTGTAAAAAATATATTTGGATTACTTACGAGTTATTTGGATGAGGGTAAAAGGAATGTATGATTTTTTCAATAAAATGAATGTAATATAAAGTTAAAAAAGGTAATAGTTGGTGAGCGACATCAGCGACGGTGTGGCTGAAGACAGATTGCCGATGGTGGTGGCCAGCGACGGCGGTGGCTTCTAGTGAATGGTCAACTGCAGTGCTGGCGGTGATGGGAGGTTGGCGGTGATGGGAGGGTGGCAGACGACGATGGAGGATGGTGGTCAGCAGCGGCAATTGCAATGAATTTGGAACTCATCTAAATCGAAGAAATTTGAAATACACGAAAAATGAACCAAATGGTGAATTTGAAATGCAACAAAAATTTTACTCAGTATTTATTTTACTTCAAATCAAACATCAATATTTTTAAAACTCTTATATTTAAAATACCTCACACTCCTTTAAAAAAACAATCAAACAACTCCTAAGTCAAACTCACACAATATCACATACGCAAGGTCTCAAAGTGAAAATTAGCCTTTCAGAGTCCTTGACCATCTTCATTATTCTCATCCTAATTAATTAAGGTTGATCTTACTCTCATTAAATTGGATCATTTTTAATTACTAAAATGAGATGCCTAATTAATATGATATGCCATTTTTTCTAATTTGTCAATTCAATATGAAAAATTTAACTTATGAGATTAAATTTAAGATTAATTTAATTAATTATAGCTCTTTTTCATTAGTGCAATTTTTTACATGTATTAGCAACCTTCATCAACTTGAACTTTGCATAATGCATTAGTTAACAAGTTATCATTTAGGATTAATGTAAAATTAGGTGTTTGTATGATAAATTTTTTTCATTGTTTAATTTGAAATAAAATTGTTGAAGATAATTTATATAATTGTTATATCATAAAAAAATTATTTTGATTGGGCAAGAATCTCGAGGTAAAATCAAGTTGGAAAAATTAAATCTGGGGCCATCTAAACTTTGATTTCAGTAAACTTATAGTTGAACTAAACGTCTCGGAAATACAAACCCAACGACACCGAATTCAACCCAATACAAGCTCAAATTGGTCCAAATCGAAGGACCGAAGCACATTCGGAAGGTTCAAACCATAATTTGGATTATCAAGTTGTTTCCAAACATGGCATGCTTATAGTATAATCGAGCAGCTCGACGAGAAGAATCCAACGAGCCTAAGATTATCGAATTCTGATATCATTAAAACATTCAAATGCTCAATAAACGATCAATGATCAAAGGATTCAACATCGGCCGTCCATTCAAATCACTCGCAATTTACCCTTGATCTTCCTGTTATTTACTAGCTGTGCTACTCTCAAAAAACTATAAATAGACCTCTCATTTCTCATAGAAAATGACCCCCAGGGGGGGGGGGGGGGAAGGAGGCCCAAGCAAGAAGAGAAGAGAAGAGAAGGAAGTGACTCTTCCTTGACCACCGCCGGACTTTCACCCGACAGCCTACCGACGCCGGAGTTCTACCTAGCCGCCGACTAACGTCGGTCTTCTACCCGACGTCGAACCTCCGCATTGTCGCCGGACTTCTACCCGACACCGGACTTATGCCTGTCGCCGAACTTTAGTCAGACTTCTATCCGACGCAAAACTTTTGTCCATCGACAAACTTCTACCCAATGCCAGACTTGTACCCATCACCGGATTCCTATCCAACACCGGACTTCCACCCGTCACCGAAAATCCTACCCAATTCTGGACTTCTTCCTGTCGCCAGATTCTTGCTGGACGTCGGACTTCTACCCGACACTAAACTTATTCCAGATGTCAGACTTTTGCCCTTCGTCGGACTTTTATCTGACCCTAGACTTCTATCTATCTCTGGACTTCTACCTGACGCCATTCTTTCGACCTTCGTCGCCAAACAATGGTCTTTATTACCTCCATTGTCCGTTGAATACGATCCTTCCGACTTACGTTGCCCTCCGACAATGGTCTTTCTGACCATTATCATCCACTGACTGTAGTCCTTCCAACCAAACGAACACATCAGCAGTGATTATTTGTATTCCCACTATGTAATGTACTTCATATGATGTACATCAAGCCAAGTCCTTCCCCCCAATGAAGGGTCTCATTTGTAATCAACTGCAAATAATAGTTGATTCATTCAAATTGGGATAGGCCCCATGATTTTTCTTTTTTTAAGGGTTTTTCACGTAAAAATCCTAGTTTCTCTTATGAATATTGCACCCTCTCTTTTTATTTGATTGCGTGTTGGATCTTCGTACAACGCTAAGATGCTAAACTTTATATTTCTCTACCACCGCAAATACTCCAAGACGCAACAATAACATAATAAAAAACAAATAAAAAATTGCTTTAGAATCTTGATATAAATAATTTTTATAATGAGATTCATACTCATTTAGATTTCGTTTGGAACAACTTTCTTACTGCTTCTTAAAGTAGTTTTTTAGTACAAAATTATAATTTTGTACTGAAAAACTGCTTTAAAAAATAGTAAGAAAGACATTACAAACGAAACCTAAATTTACACTGAGATTAGTTCAACCATTAGATGTCTTGTATAGCATTAATCTTAATGCAAAAGTAATGATCTAAATCCTATCCTATTGTAATTTTTTCCCCAAAAAATAAGCATAAATAATCTAAATGCCTAAAATGTGTTCAATTTGGCCAAATTTGAATTAATAAAAATTTTCTCATAAATCATTTCGGAAGCTCCAATGGTTATTAATTTGATATTTTGGGGTTGTCACCCTCTAGGATCTATATTGAAATAATTACACATGTATTCAATTTTAACCATTTAACTAGAATTAACCAATGAACAATGAAAAAAAATATTATTAAATTTTTTTCTTATGTGAAGTCTCATATCATATGATATTATCATTTTTTTAAAAACATGTAAAACCACGTTATAAGCATATAACTCAGCAAGAAATTAAAATCTTACAACTGAAATTAATACAAAATAAAAGATAACAATATCATATTAAAAATATAAGGAAATATATACATCAAAATCTATATTGATTATCTGTGTCAATTTATCCTTTTATAGTTCATCACATCTCAATCCATTATATTATTATTCATAATATGAGTAATATTTAACAATATTAATGCATTAATGATATTAGCATCATAATCAATAAAGTTAAATATTATTAATGATAGTAATCAATATTAGTGACAGTTTCAATAGCAGTATAGTGTTCATAGCAATGTTAGTATCGATATTTAGATATTCAATGAGTGTATCTTAAGAATATATTACTCTTGCACTTATGAGTCTTATTTAGTCGCCCTTTATAACTCGTAGTCATTGTACTCTTTATAACTCTCATTGAATCACGTGAATCAATCGCCCCGACTCCTTAAACTTTCAATCAATCTCTATCTCCTTATGACTCACGTGGATCAGTAGAATATCACACGGAGTTGTCATATTATTATTTGATATTATTCAGTGCTTTGTTTAAAATTGAATAAAATCATACCAAATCATTGAGAATGATCAGAATTATAGTATATTCCAACTTGCACGGTGTAAGCTTATGAAATATGAAGATAATGTATTTTCGACAAATTTAAGATAGATAAAATTAGTAGAAATAAAAAAAAACATTGAAAACAAAAGTAAGATATTAGTCACTTATAACGATTAAAATAACATTAGTAATTGGAATAGCTGACAAATATGATTCAATGATCTATCTATATTTTCTCTCTTCTTCTATCTTTTAGTTTCTCCCTAAGCAAACAACCAAGTGAGAGATTCAATGTGGTGAGACCTAAGTGGATATTAAGGTTATGTTTGGAACAATTTTCTTACAACTTCGCTTTTAAAATTTCAACCATAGCTTCTATTTGGTGAATATTTTTTCTCTATCTTTAAGAAAATTTTATACTAAGAAACTGTTTTTTAATTTTTATAGTAACTTTCAAATATATTCTTTTGCCAATTTTCAAAAATACTACTTCACCCACAACAACTTTAGAACCACATTTATAAAAGCATAATTCAACATATTCAGAACCAGTCTCTTTCTTTTCTGTCATTCAGCTACCTTCTCGTGTTCTTTTTAACTTTTCAATCATAAACTTTAATCTTTCCTAGAAATAATTGAATTGCAACCTCCCGCGGGGTTGACCAACAGAATTGAGATCCAAGGCAACAGTACAACTTGATTGATCGACACAATTGGATTCCACATAGAACTAACTGCAAGGATGTGTATTTGTGTTGGAAACATGCACAAGGAGCAAGCATATTAAACATAATTTTATGTATTTTGTAGGGCTTTTGTAGTTTAAGGATGATTTCATAGTAGTCATCTGGTCAAACATTAAAAGGGAGGAAGATTTATTTTCTTTTCATAGAAAAATATTTTTAAAATTAAAATCTATGGATTCAAATGAATTATCGAACTCATATATTTGAGCATACAACAATCAAATTATGGAGAGTTTAATGAAATTAAAAATCATAGCTGT